AGGCACCACAGTCAATCGCTGATTGTGAATCAACACACAAAAGCCAATCGTTTGCATATGCATATGACTAGCGAAAGACATATTTTTTGCCCTTTGCCAATGATATTCAACTGACAGTTAATCAGTTAATGTAGAAATGACTCGCGGAATTGAAAAATTTCGATGTGAAAATGATAAAAAGGAAAAACTGATATCTTTGCATACCATTAGGGATACTGCAAATCATGGAAATAACCGGCCGGAGATAACACCCGGAGGAATTTATTAAATTCTGTTATTAAAGAAAGCCACAGGAGAGTTGCGTACAAAAAAGCTGTTGCAAATTCACAAGAGATGACACGTTCATTTAGTTTTTGACATTCACCTGTGCACAGTGAACAACTGCACACACACACATACCATCGACCGGAGCTGTCTTATCAATTTGCAGCGGAATTTAATTGGTTTGTGCAATTTTATTTATTTAATGCACATTTCTTGTCATTGCAGTGTAATTGAAATTTTACGGGCGTGAAACCAGTTAATGCATCAAGAGCACCAGTCAAAATGTTTCAAACTAATTGAAAATAGCGATATATTTACATTTCAAAAATGGTGATTATGCTTTTTTTTTTATTTAAACAGAAGAATTAAACGTGTATGCTATGTGTTGAATGCTCCATTCCAAAGCCAAAATAGATAAAATTGACCGACTTAAAATGGATCGGCTAATGTAAAGTTCAATTTTAAAACCATAAAATTGATAAGCATTTATTGAAAAATTAAATTAATACACATCGATTATGTGTTTTATCCATATGGGTTTTTATGGCTTAATTTCTGTTTCGAAACATTTTGTCAACGGTTGAATGAATTTCTCGATACACACTTTGGTTCAATATATAAATTGAGCTTATGCGGGATCGTTTGATGCCGCGCAATAGCGATTTATTCAACGATATTATTGCGCGTATATAGAAAAAAACGATGCCACAACATCGATTCGCACGTTATTTTTCCCATCGTATTGACGAAACAAATAACCAGAAATGTTTAACTGTCATTGGGAATTGCTACGTGTTTGTAACATGATTTTGGGCGAATGATTTTTCATTCTCTTGCACACACACACACACACACACACACACACACTCACACATACAACATGTGTTCGCTTCGTATGGATTGAGCTGTATGTTTTTCGTTTTCGTGCACGCATCATACTGTGTGGTAATGCTATGAATTTGATTGAACGCCAACGCTTTTGCACTGAATTTGATATGTTTATGCAAAATTTCCATGTAAATCAATCGGTTGCTGCAAGTGAAAAGTCGTTCGGATATTTGATTTGATCGGTATTTGTGTTATTAAAAACATATGCGTGCCTGAAAAAAAAAACCTCGTGCGCCTCACACAAATTGTAACCTAGAAAAATCCATCGAAAAACCCATAAAAAATGTATACATATTGTATATATAATAACGAATGTCTGTCGACGAGCGACGACGACGACTGTGTACTGTACACTGTGCAACACTCTCGGGCGGCTTACAAAAAAGGTATTTCTCGATCTCAGTGTGTGCACACAATTCGCAGCCGATACCTCGGTGCGATGGGAAAACGTAAACAGAAAACGCGTGCGCGCTGATTTCTGAATCGAACGCTATGAATGATTTAAGAAGACGAAATGGCAGAGCCAAACAACAACCTTTATTTGCCTCTGCTCCGTCAAAGAGGTAGAGACGAAAGGAGGAAGAGAGATAACTGTGCGGCAATCAGCACATGTACGTACATATATACGTAATAAGTTGGTCTATTGAAATTGCTCTCTCTCTCTCTCTCTCCGTCTCCCAGTGCTCTGTTTGGCTATTTATTCAAGAAGACATGTGGCCCCGAGCAAAGCGTACGTCGTCCAATATACGAACCGAAATGTATGAATGCCTGTTTTTAAAATCAATGAATTCGCATCGCAATTCACATTCAATTGGAGCCGGTTGATTGCAGGCTCATTCGATTGCATATTTGGCCATTCCAATCCATTCAATTCAGATATTCAGCAAGTTGCATTTCAATTGTATGTATAATTATGGATGTGTTGGTCTCGTAAGATAGAAGGCGAGCGCACATACGTTCAGCGTGCTACGCATCTATCGATGAGATAGTAAGTGCATTACGAACATGCAATTTAATTTAGTTCGTTAAGTGGCCAACATGGGATGCATGTTTTTGTTTGCGAATTTTTAATAGATTTGCCATTTTCCGGGAATATTGTATGCATGGCGCGCTTCAATGAGGTTGAATCGAACAAGCGGAAGATGTGTTGTTTTGATTTTGATGGGATTAGTGCACAATAATCAAAACAACTTAACGCACGTAGCGAGCGGAGTGTGAGGACTTTTTCGTACGAGATAGACGTCAAACCATGTGATGCTAGGGAGATTATGCCAAAACCTCGACTGGAACTGAAGAACAACAATCACCAATTGCTACTGTCAACATCCAGCAATCATAAGTACATCGATGCACGTGAATCGCTTGAATAATGCATGAACAAAAAAGAGCCAAGCAAAAAAAAAAGAACGCACATAGAACAATAAAGATAATATGAGGTTTGTTATGACAGTTTTAGACCTGTGCCGTGCCATGCCAATGCAACAGATAATGACAACAATAATAATAGTTACAATTTCGCCCAGTAGATAAGTTCTTCGCTGTGCTATGTTGAGTTGTGCCTCGTTTGGGTTTGTTTTTGTTTGCGGTGCATTCATGTGATTTTGGATGTAATGCGCTGGTCGGTTGCCAGCGACGAAACTGTGGAAAACTATCGTACAATTCTTTTTGCTCTCGACCATTCGTGTACCGTTCACATATTTTCAATATGTGAACATCTAACGAATTTGCTGTTTATTCTTCTCTTTCGTATTCTTTTCTCAACTGTTTGGTTTATTTTTTTCCTTTCTTCTTTGCTTTTCTTTCGAAAACATGTCATTATTACTTTATCTCCTTTTTTAGTCGTTGTCTATGCGATTGGATGTGTGTGTGTGTGTGTGTGTATGCGTGTTGTGCCTTAGTTGGACATGGATAAAGAGAATGCCATACATTTATGATGATCTCAAATCAGCGGAATTGCTCACAACATTCCTACACAATATCGGAATTGTTCATTTTTTTCGGCACAAACTTTCCATTTAGCACACAATTCATAATGCCAAACTTCACATTTCTTTTTTTTTTCCTTCACAAAAATATTTCTATTTGTAAGCGCATTTTTCACCCGCATTTATTTGTCCACATATGGAAAATGGAATAAGACTTTTTTGTTCGAAATGCAAATTAAAATCGAATTTTTGTGTCAACTTGGAAAAAAAGTATGTTTCTTATTAGTGTGTTCAGAAATTTCACTTTGGATGCGAGATTTGGTGCCAGAAAGTCGCTATCGAATGGTTTATTTTTTCTCTGCTTCGGTTCGAGCATTTGGACGCCATTCAAAACAAACATTGCAAATCAAGCGGCTGCGTTTGGCTTCTAAAAATCAAATGCGTTTCGCATTGGATTTATTGAGAACACACCAAGCACTTATTAATTGCATCGACTTTTATTTTATGGTCCATTGCAATGTAATTACAAGACGAAACAAAACGACAGATTGCAGTCGTGTTGTATTTTTTGGTCACAAAAATCCGAAGCCGTTTCTTCGGCTTTAATGGCCATCCATGCCGTGTTTTGTGTTCGTTGAACGCTGCCATGAAATTTGATTGCTTTGAATGCACATAAACATAAATCCATTAGCCGTTCGCAAATGTCGCCAAAGTCGCAATTTACATTTTTAACAAATTCATTAAAAATGCCATTGCTCGCAAAATCACAAACCGTTCAATCCCTCAATAATGACGTAAACGCTTGTTTTCCTCGTGAAATGCATTTTCGATCCAGCTTTGGACTATTCTTGCTGTTGCCCTTTCTTATTGATATTGATTTTTTCGCAGAAACAATCAGTCAATGGCAAACAACAAATTAGTAGACATTTGTTGAGCTGTGCAATTGGAATGGATTTGTTTGAGTGTGTACAGCCGCACACACACACACACACACACACACACTTCATTCGATTGTGGGTTGTATCACACTAAATATGTGCAACAAAATGACAATTTTCCGTTGATTAAATTATTGACTGATTTTCGATGACGAAATAATAATTCACTGTATGAATGTTGACAAAATCTGCGTGGGCCGGAGGTCTTTCGCTTCGATGGACACATTCTTATGAAAATGAACGCTGTTTTCCGTACACACACACACACACACACGAATAAAATGAACACTTTTTGATTAATTCAAGCAATTACATCGATTAATCTCATTGCAACAACTGCTGCAGTTTCCGTATTCATTTCCATTACAGATATCGATTAGTTTTTAATTCGTTGAATCTATTTGCATTTATTTAAACTTGAAATTGTTGTCATTTCGTACAAACTTTGCTAAATGGAATAAATACCATCGTAATTTGGCCAATTATGCGATGGAAAATAGAAAAAATTCCGACTATTTAAATACGTTAGTTTACAAAACTAATTGGCAAAAAGGTGTTCGTTAAAATCTTTGAATGCGTACGATTGTTTTGGGTTTTCAGCATTTTTATGAATGGAATGAGCAAACCAAAGAAATATATACACTGTTAATTGAAGAGTTTTTTTTCTTCTCGTTGGAACGACCACAAATCGTAGGCAGACCTTGCAAATGTTTGAACGTTCAAAGCGAAACATGAAATAGGCAAATTAGGCAAAGGAATGTTAAAAGCAGTTTGGTTTCCCGAACTCGAAGAATTACTTTTGAATTAACTCTCGTAAAACAAGTAAGTGTCTCCGTTCAAATTCTGACAATTTCAACGGCTGTAGGTGTTTTGATTTCAGCACAGGTGGTTCTGAATCATGTTTTCGCCTTTTTTCTCTTAATTCTTTTTTTTTTCATTCGCAAAGGATTTCACTTTCAAAACTAGAATTAGCTGGTCAACTTACCCATCTGAAACGTATCCACTAGTGTTTCCACGTCCAAAACCACCATCCATGGTGTTCGATCGTTTCAATGGTTCATGGTATTGATATCCGTTTAGTGTGTTGCTGCTGATATTCCACTTATTGTTTGCACTGGCATTTAAATTGTTTGTTTCTGAAACACTGTTTCCATTTGGTGTTTTATCACCGATCGAATATTTATCGTTGAGGATTTTTTCGCGGCGTTGCAAAAGCATTTCCTCGAAATCGTTGCGCCCATTGCTTGGGCTCTTTCGTGCTGCATTTTGTTGTTGTTGTTGTTGGTTGGCATTTGAGCCAAGATGTTTTCGCACGAGCGACGGGCTCGATAGGCCCGCTTGTAATTTAATCATTCCGGTGCCTCCTGTTCCCGCTTTGCGTGCACTTGTTGGACTCAATTGCACGCCCGTTGCATCACCGTATGTAAATGGTCGCGAATCTTCACGTGCGTGATATGGAATCGATTCGTCGTCTTCCGATGTAGCACTGATGTTCACTTTGTTGTTGTTCAATTTTAAATCGTTTGCTTGGCCTGCTGCCGATGAACCAGTCCGCAACGACTGCGAATAATCGAACGACTGATTTTGCAAATCCATGATGAGCTCGCGTTCACGCTGTTCGATTGCCTGTTGCGTTAGTTTAGTATTTTCGTGGTGATGGTTAGCGCTGCTGTTGCTGTTGCGTGTGTATGCGATGGTTTGAAACGGTGTGATTCGGCCACTTTCGCTTGGTGTTGGTGTTATGGTGGTCGCTGTGCTTGCCGTATCATAAAAGTCTCCACAAACACGATCTCGTATGTGACCTGTTGTGTGTACGGTCGATCGTGATATTGTGCTGCAATTGCTCTCTTCTTGCGACGTACACGATTGAGAACGTTTCACCGTATTTGTACTAGCGTACAGTGGCTGCTGTTGCTGTTGTTGATGTTTTGGTATTTGTAAATGCAGTTGCGGTCGTTGATTTTGAACTGTCGAATTTTGTGTCGTTGTTTTTCGTAGAACCTCTCTAGTGTGCTGTGTTTTTCCAATATCCGGTATGCCTTGAACAGTCAATAGCATATCACTTAGGATGTCATCCAGTTCTTGATGACGATCTGAATGTTGAAATAAAAAATAAAAGAGAGAAGAGAAGAGAAAAAACAAAACAGGAAAATGAAATCACTTGCAATGAATGTGCGCTTAAGGTTAATTTCTTTTCAGTTGAGTTGTTGTAACTGGTGCTGTTGCTATTGATCGGTGTATACGATCTCGATGCATTTGTGATCTTGGAAGCAATGAAAATCTGCGCACAAATTCGCACTACTCGATCAACAGACAATAGACTCATCAAACGATCGCATATTTGGTCAATCGCAAATGGGAAAAGTAGCAAAAACGCACTGTTTAGGAAATTATGGCTCGAGTTCTAATCAAAAGAAATTGATCAAATGAGAAAACGGAAAAGAAGTATCAGACTCAAGCAGCGTGCACAGATGGTAAGCGATGATATTTTCTAAAGATCACATCAATTACATAGGTGACTGCCACTTGTTTTTTTAACTCCAAAGTTATTTCTTTTTTTGAATCGGATAAGTGGAAAAAAAAAGAAGTCGCGTTTTCACTTTGTCTACTGATGATCACTTTGTCTCTGAAATGCCCACTGCCATTTTGGTGTCGTTTTTTCCTTCTTCTTCTTCTTGTGCTTTTCTTTTCTTCATTTCTTTGTTCGTTTTCATTCGATGCGAAATGTAATTTAATGCTAATATGTGTGTGGCGTCTTGTATCTCAAAAGTGCGAAGATGACAACTTTTCGTTTGGAAGCCATATTTCCGATGAATCGCACCGTTGGACGCCGCTGAACACACAGAGAGAGAGACACCAGTCAACCAATTTCGAAAATCCTTTTGCATCTTTTTTTTTTGTTTTCTTTTGAGTCACGCTAAACCGAACCGAACCGAAAACGAAGTCTCTTATTATTCGTGTATTACTTTTCATCGGTCATTTAGCTTGCCGGCAATTTGCACTGCAAGCGAGCGAACGAAACGTGAATAATGCACGGAAAAGAAAATTGAAAAATTACATGGCATTTAATAAATGAGCTTGTTTAGATATTTTTAGAAGGAAAGGTATACGGCGTGCGAATGTCGAATAGACAAAGAGACACACCAGACACATGTTCGAAAACATGATTGAAATTGTCGCCAATCTTCACAACTGCGTATTAGATTCATTTTGAATGAACGCCTTTTATGGCGATGTAAGTGCACGAAAGTGATATTTTGTATTGAAAATTGAAATCGATTCGAAGAGATTTTGATAAAATTGAGAAGAAAACGAATAATTCAAAATGGTGTATTTTAATTAAAAAAATTACCTTGCGGACTTTGACTTGGATAGCTCGATGGTGAAACACTTGATCCTTGGATACGTCCTGCGAAATAAGGAACAAAACGATTTTTCATTAGTTCTACACTCGTTTGTACTTCTCCGCAACTGTGCGTATGTTCTCGTTTAACTTACTGTTTGCAATTCCACTGCTTGAAATGCCCGAGTCCATAGACAGAGTTAATGGGCTTTTAACGGACTCTCGACCGTCTTGATATGATTGATTTCGATTACCATTCTGTACGGCGTTCACGTAATTGTAATTGTCAACGGTGCGAAGATATTGATTTGATTGGTTCGTTGTGTAATTTCCGGCTCGCGATGCGGACGACGATCGGTTTGGTGGTTCGGGCTGTTGATAAACCGTTGATAACGAGCTACTTGACCGTGGTGTTGTTTGATAGCGAAGTGTGGCGTCCCTTGATGAACTGCGCGATGGAACTTGAATTTCTTCGTAGCTTGGTGTCGATGTATACGATCGACTTAACGATTTGCTTTGTTCACGATTTAGTGTGCTTGTGTTGCTCTCTGGTTTTGGTGAAGCACCAATTGGGCTGACTGTTGTGTAGCACTCTTTGATTTCAACGATTTTCTTATTGCTAAATTCCGGCGGAGGCGAAATTAATAGATTTTGAGTTGAAGAGGTTCGTTCGGGTTTCGGTGTCGACGAAACAACGGTTAAATTTGTATTGGATCGTTGATGATTATTGTTGACTATATTCGAAATAAATGCTGGTGGAAATGTTGGTGATCTCAGTGGTGATCTTGGACTCTTCAATATTGTCGCATACAATGAACCATCCAATGGGCCTTGGGTATGCAATGAATCTGCAGAAAAATGAAAAAAAAAACTTAATTAGATTACATACACACAAGGAAAAAGAGAGAAACAAATCGATGCGTCATCTTCATTACAAAAGGTACACCAATACGTATTGGTTGATCTCCGAATAAATGACTCGAAATGACATTAATTCGATCCACAAAATCGTGCTGCCCGTTTCATAATTTATGACGCGTGTGAATTGAAATGGCCTAAACTTCATAATTCCACTTGAATCCACTTAAAAATGTCTCACAAGATTTACTTTGACGCGTACGTCCAAGCAACTAGTTATTTTCTCTCTGTCTCTCTCTCTTTCTCACTACACTCGGAATTTGTTCGAATTCGAAACGATGTCATAACATTTGAACGGTGAACAGATGAAACGATCGTAAAATTCGATGCATCAAAGTTCAATTAAGCGTTTAATCTGTTCGAACGGTGAAAATGATGTATGTAAAATTTGTCTTGAGCAGAGCACAACGCTACGCCGCCAATACGCATTTTATGAACTTATAAAAAAGTCAGTCATCGTTCAATATTTTGTCAAGCAATCCAGTCAATCGAGAGAGAGAAAAAAAACCGTAGGTGGTATTAATTTGAAATTGAAGCTCTTGATTGATGAATAATGGAGAGAATTAAAATTGTTTATAGTATTACAAGCGGATTTTTGCTACTCGTAACCGACAAAAGCAACAGATCTCTTTTGTTTTGGATGCTGTTGCTGTTCGATCGGATTGGCCCCGAGATACAATTTATTAATGTTCATTTATCGCATGATTTAATGTTTGATTGTTGTAATTAAATTGCTTTACAAACGACGGGAATTTGTTATTCAAATTGATGCATATACGCGATAATCGTATGCGCGAAACGTCAATATTTTGTTGCGAAAATGTCAAGACTCAATCATAAGATACAGGGTGTCAATTGGTGGCTTTGAAACTATTTTCCATATAAATTCCATTCGATCGAATTGCCCGTTACTTTTCCGTGTGTAATCAGTCTTTGTGGTTTTGTACGCAACACGGTGCAACGATCGAAGACCTCCTAAACAAATGAGCCGTATCAAATGAGATAGATTATGATCATAATTTCTGGCTTTAAATCTTTTTTTCATTGATTCAATCTTGACGCCAGGCATCGAATATCAATCGACTGAAATTGAAGAAGAAGAAAAAAATAAGAAAAATGCGGTTTGATTTGTTGTTTTTTTTTCTTCGTTAGAGCAGCTTTGTGTGTGAGAGAGAAAATGAATTGTTTTACATGATAAACAGACAATAAGAAAAAAGTGCTTCATAATTGAATCAATTAGTTCAGAACGTGATGTTACATAAAAAATAATAATACACATGAGTTATACACACAACCCAAAGGTAATTTATACTGCTTTTCACGTTAACGTGGTTGTCATTATTGATGTTTCACTAGTTAGCAAATCGTGATGCCATCGGAGGCACAGGTAAGTCATCCATCATTCGTGATTAATGTAATATGAAATGCGTTGGAAATGCATACATACGTTGTGTGTGGTGCGATTTTGAAATAAATTCCACCATTGTGTGTGCATCACACAGAAGAAGAAAAAAACCATGAGCGAGTGCAAGGGGAGAGAACGATAGAGGCGAAAAAGTAAACACATCTTTTTTTTTGTGCCGAAGGGTCAAACAGTCAAGCTGATTAGAATGTAGAAACAAATAATGATGAGAATGGGTTTTTAGGCTATGTAACGGCGATGTGCCTGTCTCTGTCTTGAAAATACTTTACAACACCCACACCACTCCACACGATCTTTTGTCAATATAAAGTGTATTGTTTTTAGTTTCACTTTTATTGAGTTTAGAAAATGCACTTAAATGTCGCTACCATTAAAAGGTGAGTCGCGAATGACTTTGCAGTAGTTTTTACTGCGTTTTCTTCAAATATTCAGTGGGTTTGAATTGGCCGATTTCGCCTCATTTATACAAAAACAATTCAGTTGATACCTTTAAAAGATGTTTTTGTTTTACTTTTTTTGTTGTTTTATTTAGTTTGATGTGTGCTGAACATTTTAAAATTAGAATTGAGCTAATGATCATGCTTTGAAACGTGTTTATTACATGGTAAACGATATATTTGATCTCTGTCTGAGTGTGGTTCAAGATTTTCGATGAAAGAAGGAGTTGAAAGGAAAATAGCACGTGCAACAGAGAGTGAGATTTCGTCAGAAATTCACGTCAAGCAGTGACAAATGGGCACTTCACTACATTCAAGACAAGAACATCAAAGACAAGATGCAAACAAAACAAAACGCCGAGGCAAATGCATTTTTCCTCTTCATTTATTATTATGATTTCAAACAACGTTAAATTATTTGTATGTACGGTGTACGCAGCCATCTATATTCTGAAGGATCACCACTTATAGACAAAGATGAAGCAGCCATCATTAGAGAGCAGATTTCGTTTCAACGTATTATTCGCAACCATTTGCATGGATTGCATGGTGTAAGTGTGGCTCCGGGGGTTTGTTCTTACAAAGGTAAAAATTCTAAATCGGAAATTTTGATTTATGATCCTTAACAAAATGGCATGAACGAAATGACGTGTTTTAACACCAAGACTGTATTTATGGTTCGACCATTTGGATAGAAAGATTGAAAGCCCATCAAAAATTCCGAATCACGTCACCGCTTTTCTCTCTATTCAGTAGCGAAGACAAGCGTGCAGATGCGTGGCTACGGCTTTGCGTGCTGCAAAAATTTACGAATCTCATCGTCAATCGCTTGAATTTATTGCATATTAAATGTTGTCGTTGATTCATTTCTTCACATCGTGTCGGCGCTGCAACAAGCCGATTTGCTAAATTGAACTGTGCGTTTCATTTTGCCGCTTATTTCTTCTTTCCCTCCATCCCAGGTCAGCAGACAAACCGTTTTCGAAGAACCAAAAATTTTGCGCGCTGCGCTTTGGCCCAAACAATAAATTAAACATAATTGCTTCATGACTGCAAGCAGATGAGATGCATATCGAAACAAAATATTTATGGTTCGTTGGGAGGCTTTTTTCCTTCTCTCCATTTGACTCTCATTCCGCACTATTCACGAAATTATTCAATTTTCGCCAATAAAATAAAATTCGGTTAGATGAGGAGGGAAAAAAACGGTCGAAATGCCGATAGCAACACACAACAACAGTGCCCGTTTAGCCATGAACTTGTGAGCGTGCACAGGCCAAAATACCTTAAAAACAGATTTTTTTTTTCAAAGCTAAAATACAAAGAATATTTTATGCAATTCTTGTGCATTCTTTGCGAGCACACGAGAGATGTTTGAATGCAAAAGTGCCACTTCAAGAGAGAATCTTTTAGGATTTGTACGAATGTGGTGAATGAGTTTCTGTGGAAGGGCTCAAATGAAAAAAAGTGCATTTTTCGTTTCGACAGCCTTGCCGAATGAGAGTCTGCGTGAGCTGCAGCGCTCGGCGCGCGCAAAACTGGTTATGTTAATAAATTTTCATTAATTCGATGCAATTTGTTTGTGTTTGATTCGATTTGCATTCCGATATACCCTTCAGTTGTGTTATTTTTATGCTTTTCCATTTTTTTCTTCGTGCATTGGTTTGATATTCAATCGTTTATTTTTTTTTCTGCTCTTGAGTGCAACATTCGGGGAAAAAATCCATCGAAACAAAGGTTTTGTGCGCAAAGTACTTTGGCTTTTTCGCCTCGTCCCATTGATCTTGTGTGCTCAATTCACTAAATTTGTGACTTTGTCGGCACAACGAGTGAAGAAAGGGAAAAAAAATCACGTTCCGAAAAAAAAAACCGTGATTGAGTGGCTCGTTTAAAGGAACAACGAGTTCGATGGTGATTATTACACATCATGTATATGAGAACACGTACTACCGATTGAACGCGCCACCATTTGTCATGAAGAAAGTGAAGAGCAAAAATTGTTTTTCGCTTTTTTTCTTTCGTCAAAATCATTTTCTGCAGTGCTAAAAGAGATGTTCGTGATGTTGATGGTCGGCGAATCGTGATTGACGAAAGAGAAACAAAAAAAAAACTGTACACAGCTGAAACAAGTTCGTTTCCAAAAACTTAATTCGCGTTGCATTTTTCAGATGACTTCGACATAGTTCGTCTGTGTTTTCAACAGGAAGCATTTTTGAATGAATCAATTACACTTGACGTTTAATTAAAATTCAATGAACTCGTTTGAAGCATCAAGTGATAAAATACGAACGGCCATGAAACGCACATCTAACGACCACGATCCATTATTTTTATGACCAATTACGAGCGCTAAAGCGTCAAAAATCACATTCTGCAAACGACGATTTTATGACCGGAAATTTGCGCACATTTTTCTTATTTCGAAAATCTATTTTCGTCTATCTCCGTCTATTTTCATTGCAACGCATTCACCATATTTTGGAATGTTTTTCTTTTCCTTTCTACTCGTCATCGTTCCATGGAAAAATTATGTCATACAGCAATTGAGTGTTTCATTGGGTTTTCCACTTAAAAATTGCTGAAAGGTTAATTTTAGCCACTCGTTCAAGTGTCCTTTTGACTGTTTGTGCTTGTTGTATACGAATGTTGTACATTTGCTCTTCACTCGCTCGAAAGCGCGTTCAATAAAGCCGAGATTTAGTATGATTTGCTTGACAGGCGACAAGATTTATGATGCACACAGCGAATGATAAAAAAAAAAATGAAAATCTACTACTTTAGCTGATTTCATTCAGTGTGTGTATGGATCTATGCCCGATCGAGAAGATGGTCGAAGGAGATGTCGAGCTGAGTGAGTCGTTTGTATTTTATTAATGATTGAGTGAGAGAAAATATGTCGGTGATGTTGACCACGTGAAAGTGAAGGAAAAAAATTCCAAGGAGAAGCATAGTACACAAGAAAAATGGGTTTTCTTCACATTCCGAGGATAATGTGAATTCCTGAACAGTTCGAGAAATTGAGAATTCTTTCAGAAAGCGTTTGATTTCGTAACGCGAAAACACTATCAAG